GTCCACTACGCCTACGATTGATCAAGGTCCATTTCTAGGCTTCGCCCGTAATTAACATCCAACTTTTCACGGCAGCCAGAAAGAACATACAACGCAAACGGTAACCAGTGTAAAAGGGCCGAGAAAAACAGAAAAGAAAGGGGGCAACAAGCAAAATTGAAAACGGTTAATGGCCAAAAAAGAGTCCAAATTTTGCCTTACGCGCATGCCCGGAATTGAAAATTTGCTCAATTTTGTGCCTAATCCTCGAAAAATGTCTCCTTTTAGTAAAAATAAAAGCTTTCTTAGCAAAACTTAGGCTTATTTAGCGTCATGGCAGCTGAAAAACCTGACTAAATGGTTTAAAACGGTATTTTTTGGTATTCAAAGGGTTAAGGGGCCGCGCCCAGCTTCTTGCCGTACCAAGGGTGATTCCATCTTGTCACCCACAGAGGGATCACATGAGATAGCATTGCGCCTGCGTGAACTCAGTGCGTTGTTGCCTTCGTTGTGAATAGATTGTCTTTTCTGTCCTGCAAAAACTTGGTTTTAGCCACACAATACCGCCTGATTCGCCTACCAAAACATCGAAAGAAATTCATGTAGAGATGCACCCGGTACCAGGAGAGAGACCATCCAAGTCTTCGAGACGCGGCAATGAAAAAGACGGGAAAAAGGTCATAATTGACTCCCGTCAACACGATGAAGACATGGCAAGCGCTCAGATCAGTGCTTTGCAAAAATCTACGGAACAAGGCTTTTCCCGGATGGCCGAGTCGTTGACCACGGCCCTAACACAAACCCTTGAGAGGTATGTGTGTGAGGAGGTCAACGAGGGTGACTTAAACGACAATAACTTGTCAAACCCCTCACAAGACAAACCCAGCCAGAAGGCGGGAAAATCGTCTTCACCGAGCGAACAGATGGATGTTGATGCCTCGGTCAATGACCTTTTGTCTGATGCCAAAGAACATGGCAATGGAAAGCAACATGAAGTCGATGAATCAGTTGGAGACTTCCTTAAAACTGTTCAAAATGACCTGAAGTCGGAGGAGACGGGACCTCCCGTCCATGAACAGCTCGCTAAAATTGTGACGCGTCTCGTGCGAGACGGCATGTTAGAAGAGCAGCTGCAAGACAAGATAAACAAATATCCGCAGCCGGAAAACTGTGAAGGTTTAACGAAAGTTCGAGTTAACCAACTGATTTGGGATAACCTCAGCTCCACCATCAGGTCGCAAGACTTGAAATTCCAAAAAGTGCAAACGTCTGTCGTTAAGGGCATGACAGCTCTTGCTCGCGTCACTGACGCCATCTTGAAACGAGTTAATGAGATAAATGGCGGGAAAGTGCTCGCCCAAGAGGCAATAGAAAGCCTTTTTCTTTTGGTACGTGCAAATACCGAGCTTAATGGTAAAAGGAAAGAGCTCATAAAACCGGACCTACACATGGATTACAAACACCTTTGCTCAGCGTCTACAACAGACAGCTGAACTCTTCGGAGACGACTTGTCGAAGCAAGTCAAGGATATCTCCGAAGCAGACCGAGTTGGCTGGAAAGTAACTACTTCCACCGTCACTCGTCATAAAGGCCCGACCCACTCTAACTTTGGATACAAAATCCAATCGTCTGGTGGCAGAGGGAAATTTTTTCGAGCTGGAGGAAGTCAGAAGCATTTTTTAGGCTGGCGACAGACCGCAAGTCGCGGTTCTGCCACACAGAATTTAGACAAGTTTCCCAAGTCGAAGGGTCAAAGCAAGTAAACAAAGCTTCTGAGGACTTACCTGAGGTAAGTAAAAAATTGTCTTGTAAAACCAGGACAAACGGCAGTTAGATTGAAATTATATTTCCCTGAATCGAGAGAATTGACTTCCGATCCACAGATTCTCAAAACCTTCAAGGGTTTTAATGTTGATTTTGTTGACTGCCCTCCTGTACAAATGCTTCCCCCAAAGGAAATCGCTTTTAATTCGGAAGAATCACAGATTATCAGTTCAGAATTAGACAAACATCTGCCAAAGGGGGTCATTGTGAAATCACAGCACTGTCATGGAGAATTTCTCTCTACTATATTTCTTCGTAAAAGGAAGACTGGAGGGTATAGGCTCATTCTCAATTTGAATTTCAACTTTAAAAATCAATATATTAGCAACCGTCATTTTAAAATGGAAAGCTTAACTTCAGCAATCTTGCTTATGACACCTGGATGTTATATGGCATCTGTAGACTTGCAAGATGCATATTATTCGGTTCCAATCAATGAGACATGCTTCTGCTCCTCGAATTTTTACGAAATTGCTTAAGCCTGTCTACTCTACCTTAAGGCAAATGGGACACACAAATGTGGGCTACACTGATGATTCATACTTACAAGGGCCCTCATTTGATGACTGCAGTAATAATTTTCAGGACACTGTCCACCTTTTCACCAAAGTGGGTTTTCTTCTAAATCAAGTAAAATCAATTCTCGTACACAGCCATGAGTTAAAATTTTTGGGCTTTATCTTAAACTCACTCACAATGACAGTGAGACCAACACCAGAGAAGCTGAAAGGCTGAAACAGAAATGTTTAGCTGTGTTGACAAAAACTCATGTTTCAATTCATGATGTCTCAGAAGTGATAGGTTTAATGGTTTCTATGTTCGCTGAAGTTGAATATGCATGGCGTTCCTATAGAAGTCTAGAAATAGACAAAATCAAAGCTTTGAAAGAAAGTAGGGGAAACTACAACTCAGTAATGACATTGTCAGTTACATCAGTCATAGACCGCAAATGGTGAATGGATGTTGAGAGCTCGTTTAAGTGGATATCCCATGGGGATCCATTACTCTCCCTGTATTCTGATGCCTCAAAAGAAGGGTGGGGGACAGTGTGCAAGGGAGATAAAGCAGGAGGTCGATGGACTGTAACTGAGTGTAACTGTCACATCAATGCGTTAGAAACACTTGCCGCTTTTTTTGCTTTGAAATCATTCAGCCACTCAATGACAAATTGTCGTATTAACATCTACATAGATAATACCACTGCTGTCTCTTACATAAATGCCATGGGTGGGACTCATTCTTTGGAATGTAATAAGATTGCACGTGAAATTTG